ATTTGGTAAATAAACTGACTATCGCACTTGATTCATTGACTTTTATTTGGTTTTATGCACTCAGCCTAGTTTCAGCTTTTCTTGAATGTTATTTTTTTATTTTATTTTTATTTTTATTTTTATTTTATTTTATTTTTTCCGTTCTAAACTTTTTATTCACTGAAAAAGCGCGGCATTCTACCTTTCCACTTCTACTTCGACAATTTTTTTTCTTCCTGGGATCTACTATCAGTTCTAAGAGACAGGGGTATAAAAGCCACTGGAACTCTAAAGGAAAATAGAATAGCAGTTTCTGTGATCAAATCTGGCTTACAACTGAAAAAATCAGAGAGAGGAAGTTTTGAGTCTGTCTTGGAGAAAAGAGAAAATATTATAGTATGCAGGTGGAACGATAATAATATCGTAACAATGTGCTCCAACTGTGAGTCTATTTTTCCAACTCATACCGTATCAAGATTCTCTCGCAGAGAAGAGAAAAAAATATCTCTATTTCAACCAAAAATTATCAAAAAATACAATGAAAATATGGGAGGCGTAGATAGAGTGGATCAAAACCTAAGCCTGTATAGAGTAAATATTAGAGGCAAGAAGTGATATTTCCCGTTGATTAGTCACTGCCTTGACATGGCAATCCACAATGCATGGCAACTTCATCGACATAATAAGGGGAAATTAAACCAATATCTTTTTCGAAGATCTCTTGCTACTGGAATTTTGGAAACTCACAGAAAAAAATAAAATGAAGACCTGTACGACATAATGCTTATGATAGAGAGTCGTCGCGATTCGATAGAAGAGATCATCTTGTTGTTTCTCAAGAGAACCAAATAAGATGCCGCCAAAAAAGTTCAGTTCAGGTGCAAAAAATGCGACGTAGGTTTGCATCCGAAACAATGTTTTTTCTGAGTTTTATACACAATAAGTATTTATTTTGAAAAAAATCAGAAAAATGTAATGTTTTATTTCTGTCTTTTGATAATGATCTCTCATGCATTTATGTATGTAAATTAGAATAAATTTTGCGTTTATCATCCGTTTTTTTCTCCTCAACCCCTAGTATACCACTGTCCTCAAAAAAAGACGGTCAATAGCTGGAAAACTATATATTATAGAGGAAAAAATTCTTGACAAAGTATGTTAGAAATGCCCTAAATATGTAATTTTTATAAAAAATGCCAAGTTTCAACCCCTTTTGTTAATGAATTAACAAGAAGCACATAATATGCTCGGTTTGCTCAGCGAAAAATTATTAGGGGTGGGTTGATAGTTAATAAGTACAGTATAACAAGGGCGCCACTGAATTTTGTTTAAAAAAAAAATTAATAATAAAATTGCATAAAATATTGAAGTATGAAAATTCAGAAACACACCTGGAAAATAATCAGCAAACGGTTCTTGGTAATTCTGAAAAGGAAATAAATAAGGCACACAACTCAAGCAAACCCAGGTAAACCAATAAAATAATTGAGTTTCAAGTTAAATTAGTGTATATTTCACAGTGATCAAGTAGCGAATAAATTCAAAGTATAAAATCAAATATTGGTGAAACACTTTAAATTAAATCAATAAAAAAAGGTTAACTTTCAGTCAGTCTCATCAAGTTCAAAAAAATATATAATATATATAATAACAAAGTTTAAGTTTCCAGAACACTGATTAAAAAAAAAAAAAAAATGTATTGATAAATATGGTCCGCTCCCGTAAAAAAATTAATTCAATAAAATCAAATTGTACCTGAAAGAAATCGAAAGTTGGGCTATACATATAACCGTTAAATAGTTTGGAGATCCTCAAATATATAAGTCGTAGGACCCAGGGTTAAAAATTGATCAATTTTTGACGTTATGACGGTACTAAAAGTTAAATAAAAAAAAATCTATAGTAAAGACGGCAAATCAAAAATCGAGTACAATAAAGTTCACTAAAGTGTTAAGAAAAACATGAATGAAATTGAAACTTTAAAAATTTAAAGGTAATGTTGGTAAAAATATAATCAATGAATTATGTTAATTGACTATAGAATAGAATTTAGAAGAAAAAGATATGAAAGTAATTAACGAAACTTTATACAAGCCTCAATTCCAACAGAAAGGTAGATTACGGTAGTTGGTAGCCATCCAGTCTTTGGTCACTGGACGAGGTAAGTTGCACTGGAAGTCGTAGAATCTAGCCTGGAAGATAGAGGCTAGAAGTTTTCTTCGTCAAAGGTAGAGGTACAGGAATCGACACGTGAAGGACTCAATAGCTCTATGCCCAGAGATGGGGCTTGTTGAAAAGGGATCTCTTGAGAGAAACAGCTTTTCGGAAAATACAGGGCCCTGGTAAAAATAGGCCTACGGTAGAAATAGGCCCACGGTGGAACCCTAAGTAATAGAGACATTTCATGAACTATCGCTTTGAAAAAATTAAAGAAACTTACCACGTGGGTTTCGAAATTCAAACTTAAATAATCAATCAATGAACTACTGCCTTACACAACTTTATTTCGCCTAGATAAGGTAATGCCTGAAAGCCGATAAGGTACTTTTTCCACGAGAACGGTAATTACACTTGAGGAAGATGACCGCCCCCCTAAGCTACAATCGAGCTTTCAGGGCAAGGGCTAGATTAGAAAAGGGACTCTTCAATTTTCTCTTCCAGAATAAATAGATTTCACTTGACAATTTTGAAGGAAAACACTGTCAACTTGTTGACCCTCAGATATGTAAAAAGTACTAGGTTCGAAAACTATTAACGAGGTTAAAGCGCAACGAAGTACTGGGGTCGAGTAGATCTAGGTAGTACAAAAGAAAGCGCCTACTTCCTTCTCGAGGTCACCGATAAAATAATTAATTCAGCCGGCAATAGATGCCGCCATATGACCGAATAATTATATAAAATTTATAATATAAAAATTATTTATATAAAAAAAAAGCAAGTGACATTTGCAATGTTACAAACTTTATGAAAAAAATAGTTTTGGTAGTATTTGGGCTAATCAAATCAACAAGGGCAATGTCATAGCCAACTTATGAGCCTGCCAAAAAGATTCTGAAGTGTGAAGCGAAAGAACATCAAGAAAATAAATCATCCCACGACATTTTAAGACAATTCGAAACATCTTTTCTCCATAGAACTGAAGAAGGCCGAACAATTATTTTGGGAGAACAAGGATGTCTTTGGGAGTAACTAGACGAACGCTATCAACCATGAAATTAATACTGGCAGTGCTCACCTGATCCATCATTCATCAACCACCTGGAAGACTTCCCATGTCCAAACAACAAGAAGTCTAGTCATCAGTAGGCAGTATGCTTGCAGAGGGAGTTATGGAACAGTCTTCAAGTCCGTGGTCATCGCTAATTGGTACCAAGTACCTGACAAAGAAAGAAGGATCTAACAGATTTTGCGTCGATTACAGAAAGCTTATTAATGTCACTAAGAAAGGCAGCTACCCATTATCCTTAGGACATTGGCATATTCCAGATTCAAATTGGTTTTTTACTTTGTATTTAAAAAGCGGATACTGGTAGGCGGGTGACGAAAAAGACAAAGTGAATATAGAGTTCTCCACTGGAAGTGTTATTTACCAATTCAAGGTAATGCCTTTTAGACTTAAGATAAAAAACTATTTAACCAGTATTAAATAGTGAAAATGAAACAAATTTCTGCACTGTTGTAGCATTCTGTATGAAAGTATGATGGGCATATATTCCGAGAACACGTAATTAAGTACTAATTACAAGGTTTTTTAAATTGACTGCTATTTTGATGAAATCAAAAAAGCTTGAAAGTTTTAAACTAAATGTAAATAAAAGAAGGTAAGAAATAGTAAAAATAAACTGCCCTTGAACACTTTCAAATTGAACGCCAGCACAGGGAGTCAATGTATTATTGAGAAGTTGATTATTGAAGACCATGTGTATTCACTTATACAATCGTATCAAATGTATAAGTATTATATCAGTATGGGAGCATGCATCTGATTTTCTAATATGTCAGAATGAATCTTATCTTGCTTTTCTTCCTTTATATCAAATATTTTTTCTAATAAACAAAGTATTATTAAAAAAAATATTTGATATAAAGGAAGAAAAGCAAGATAAGATTCATTCTGATATATTAGAAAATCAGATGCATGCTCCCATACTGATATAATACTTTTACATTTGATACGATTGTATAAGTGAATATTCTTTTCTCGATATACTCACGATCCGCAAGCTGAGAATTGCTGTGGTGATAAAAATCATATTTCTTCTTTCTGACAGAAAGCAGAAATTGAAGAAAAATTGAGAATAGAGCTATCAAATTATAAGGATGATTAATACACTTTGTGAAGACAGAAAATGATTTTCGTATCTTTCAGAAAACAATTTGATACACATATAAAATGTTAATCGCCCACCACCGAAAATAAAACCTTTTTATTCGTCAAGACTAAAAGCTCGGTAATGCACGTCATAAAACTAGGCCTGATATTATGTAACAGTCTAGTGTTCCCTTGGGATGCTTTCAGGCTATTTTTCATCTCATGTAAAACCATAAAGGCTTTTATTCCACGCTAGGAGAGTACGTTTAGTTCTGTTCAGTTTTTTTTGTTTATTCACCTAGAAGAATAATACAATGTTGGGGTACATTTGCTTGACTGCAACTATGTGGAATTAATTATGTCAAGTAATTCACAAAGAAGTTAGTGAGAAAAGCTGAAGAGTAAGTAAACGTATCAAAATACAAGTAGGTACAAGGCTTCAGTGTTTCATATTAAATCCTTTGGAATAGGTCTGAGATCAAATTCGAATCAAATTCTTGGTTCTGAGAAAAATCAATCAAATTTAAAATAGTCTGAAATTTGTCTATCACAGACCAAAAGCTCGATGTCGCGTAGCACTAAGACACTACTTCATTCGTTACACTCCTAATGATTCGTAGCGCAAGCCCATTTGTGCCATACTTCACCTGCCTGCCGCCCGAAATCGGTGTTTCCGAAGTTTACAGTTCGCAGTGCGCTCTGAACACTCGCTGTGCTTGCCGGGAGTAAGTGGTTACGTTACGCGCGCAACTTCCAAACTTCCGACGGCGAGGGCTTTAAAAAAGTTTTCTGAAATGGATATGCAGTGGTGTTAGTGAACATGTAACGTTTTTGTTTTGGCTGATAAAAATAAATTATTCCTAGTGCTGTGCAGTGTTAAAGGAACTATGGAGAAGAGCGGACTTTTGAATTTCTATAGTAAGTTATACCCTTCCGGAACGAATGCTCTATTAACTTATTCGGATTGAAGGTGGTGATAAAAATCAAAACTTTTTTGAATAAAAATAGTAATATCAGCCTTCAAGATCTAGAGTTATACGAGACACACTCGATTGAAAATTTGAAAATTTATTTATTAGCTGGAAAAATTAGGAATTTCAAAAATTTAGCTCACTATTTTTGCCTCTAATAGATTATCCAACGTCAAATAGGTAACGCTATAGAAAGTATTTTATGATGACAGGCATTTTTCATTAAGGGTGGATATTATTAGCACAAATTTAAGGTTGTTATTTCAGCTACAAATGGAATTTAATCATCACAGTGCTGAATTATTGAATAATTTCTCATTAATTGTAGGTGACACATTAACAATCGTGTAAGATGTGAGATCGTATGAATAACGGACCGTCACAATCAATCATTTCTTATTATGAGTAATGCTTTGCGATTATCTGTTACATAACTGTGGTGTAGAAACCATTTTCCAAATTATAGTTGATAAGATTAGGTTGAAATGTCACGTGTATTTTCTTTTTTGATTCAAACGTTTTTTTTTCCCCTTCCAATGGATATCAGTTGCAGAGAAATTTTAAAATGCCAAAAACCGGTTACCTACCTATTCCTAATAAATGAATGTTCTTGTTAGGAAAATAGTATTTTCTTTTAACATTATATTTAAAATTTATGCAATAGTATATCAGACACACAACTACATTTAGTTTGCCATCCATTACCAAATGCAAAAAAAAAGAAAAAAAAAAAAGACATGCACGCATAATGTGTAGTGGTGAATTTGTCGTGGAACGAAAAAAATTGTAAAGTAAATTCGAAATACCAAAGCCGGCAAGTATGCGTATTCGTGATGACCTTTGCGTTCAAAACTCAATTTAGAATATTTCATATTTCAATGCGGTATAGTTTTTAGTTGTGATACAGCGAATCAGTTGTGGAATCCAAAAGTCCGTATGGGCAATTTTTCACTGAAAAGTTGACGTTTTCGCAAATAATGATAGAAAAGGAATTTTTAAATTTCATATCTGATAAAAAAAAAACTGCATTTTGAGGGCTAAATGTGGCTAGTTAGCTGATGAGAATATGGATGATTCTAATGCCTGCTCCCCGTTCGAAAATTTGTAGAAGAAAAAAATTGATTTACATGAAGATTTTTTTTTTTTAATTATCTCAAATATTCTGGCTTGTAGATAAAAGATAAATAATTAAAATACCAAATGCTTTTCAATAGCTGAAAAAGTGGGGATGAGTGAAAATGAAAAGAACCTTCGGCGTTTACTTTTTGTCTGGCAACCGACAGAAAAAAAGGTTTTGTTGTGAAAATAACGCTGAAAAAGGGCCAGACGGTAATACCAGTTTGAAATCGAGTTTTCCGGCGAAAGATTCTGTGTACATTTCAAACAGAGAGCAGGCATTGAAACCACTTATATTCTCATCAGCTAACTAGCCACATTCAGCCCTCAAAATGCCAGACAAAAAAAATAACTCCACTAAACAGGCCCTATCTCAGGGTCTGTCATGTCATTCGCGAAATTGCCAAGCAACAAAATTTCATACCAGTCGAACATTTTGCCCACAATTTTTTTTTTCATGGTATTATACAGGGTGTCACGGATAAGGATGCACTCTACAGGGATCACCGTAAGCATAGGACACACAGAGTTTCAGGTTTTGATATTTCGGATATTCCGAATGATTCCGATGATATCCATGAAAAAACGAATTTTTTCGAAATCGTTTCTTTTTTTTTTTTCTTATTTTATTCGAAATAATATCGCAAAATAAACTTCACATTGTCATTGCCACTTTTTCTCCACTACATGATAATGCTATTAGATATTTGATCAGACGTTTCGTTTCTTCGCGATCATCATGAATTTTGTTTTCTCAAATGGTCGAAATCAAGTGCGTAGCAAGGTTAAACGGGGCCCCGGTGCAACTAAATTGCAGTTGAATAAATATACAAAATAAAAATAACGAATGTGTATTTATTTTCAATAGTTTCAATGAAACAAATAACAGAAATAAAAAAGTTGATCCATTTAAAAAAATAAATGGTATTCTATAAAAAAACAATAATAGACAACTCAAAACTATATTTGGCCTAATAAAGTGTTCAGCTTTTGATTATAATGTCTTGCTAGCAGGTAGATTTTTCGTAGAAATTTTTGCGCATGGCTTCGGGGCCCCTTTAGCACCGGGGCACCGGTGCGACGCACTGAACTTTCCTACGATAGCTACGTCACTGGTCGAAATTTTTTATTTTATGCCTAATAAACTCTATTTTTTATTCTGAATCCAACGACATATCAGGCTGTAACCCCTTCTGTTAATGAATTAACAAGAGGCTTATAATATGCTCAGTTTGCTCAGCGAATAATTACTAGGGGTGGGTCAATAGTTTAATAAGTGCAGAATGGCAAGGGCCCCACTGAATTTAAAAAAAAGGTAATCAAATTACATAGAAAACTTTTTGACAGTTCTAACAGCCAGTTAAATTTTGTCATTTATTGTTATGTGACACAAATCACCCAATCATGTCAAAATTATACTGAAAACAGCCCTAGGGCTGTTTTCGGCTCTTACTCGTTTCTGAATTTGACATAATTGGATAAAGCAACTAAAAATGGAATTTTCTGCACCATAACTTGCAGTCCTTGTTGAGAAAATTAATAAAAAAGTAAAATCTCTCTGAGTTTAGCCGCAACACGATGAATGTTGACAGGGTTGCCATTCATTGTCACCACTGAAAATTTGTATTTGTTTTTCCACGACGCACTACATTAAGTCACATCTGGCAACAGGGCAATCAAAGCTTTAAGCCAATGACTACCAGAACATTCCATTGGGTCTTCTTAAATTTGATTGATAGAAGATGCTCATATCCCTTATACGTCATCGTAAAGCCCTAGGGTTGTTTTCACTCTATGGCATTGTCTCGGACATTCCTGTCAAAAGTTTTTCTATCCGAATAACCCTCGAACATTGATAAATGCTCAAAAATTTTATAACTTTCTCAAGCTTGTTGCTTTTAGAAAACAGACCTGTCCGACCGACGCGTTGGTCGGTCTGTTTTCAAGCAACAAGCTTTCGAAATCTGTTATAAAATTTTTTCGGATAATTATCAATGTCCTTGGGCTATTACCACTGAATATCGAAGGGTAAAATTTCAGAAACACACCTGAAAAAAAAAAAAAAAAAAACAGCAATCAAATTCAATTAGCGTATATTTCACAGGGAGGTCAAAAATCAAGTATTGAATAATTTCAAAGTATAAAATCAATTGCTGGTAAAACTCTTTAGCTAAAATAAATAAATAGAGGTTACCTCCCAATCAGTTTCATCAAATTCAAAACAAAAAAAATAATAAAAAATACCAAAAAAATAATATTACAATATACCTCAATATACTTGCCATATAAATTCATTAACAGTTGCTGGCCATACCATTATCATGACGGGAAAATATAAAGATTTAAGTTTCCAGAAAACTAATTTAACCCTCGCCGCCCCAAAATAATTTTAAAACTTGGGATCCCAGAACAGGGTCAAAATGGAGTATGGACCCAGATACAAACCTTTTTTCGAGTGATTTTGAATATAAAATTTTGGGAATCATAATAAAACATGTTATTGTATAATGCTTTAATTTGATTATGCAAAAAAAAAACAACAAAATAAACTTTCGATTCATAAGATTAGATAGTAAACTGAAGGACAAAATTTAGAAATTCCGAAAACACGTAAAAAAAGCTTGCTACTACTTGTCGAGTTGGAGGGTTTCAGGGTATACCGATTTATCCCAAAACTGGGTCATTGGTGACCCATAGAAAGTTTTCTGGGGAAAAATTGTTTTTTCGAAAAAATCATACAAAAGGCAATATTCTTGACATAAATTAGGAGAATTCACAAAAGATCTCTGAAAAAAAGTCGCGGGGCCGCAAGATATTCCTGGAAAATCAGATTTTGGGTCATCGCTGACCCACTGTCGGTAAAGCGAGGGTTAAAAAAAAAATGATCGAAAATTGTATTGATAAATATGATCAGCTTCTGCTTTAAAAATAAATTCAATAAAATCAACTTGTACCTGTAGGAAGTCGAAAGTTGGGTTAAATAATAGTTAAATGGTCAGGAGATATAATAGAAATCCTCATCAAACATATAAGTTATAGGACCCAGGGTTAAAAATTGATCAATTTTCGACGATGTAGGTTCTTACTTAATAATGTTAAATTTACAGTATGTGGTCCAACCTTGACTTCAGTTCAGATCGTGGCTTATGAATAACAAAATTTACATTCCTAAAATATGGCAATATTAAAAGTTAAGCAAAGACAAATCTACCTATAATAAATTCGATAAATCGAAAGTTAATTATTCCATCATCACCTCGGTGTCAACAAGGAGAGATTTTAAAATTATATGTGAGTCATATAAAAAAAAAATCATCAGTTAATTTTGTTAATCGACTACAGAACAGATTTCATTAAAAAAAAATATAATAAAAGTTATTAATGAAACTTTATACAAGCCTTTATTCCAACAAAAGGTGGATTACTGTAGCCATCTAGCCATCCATTTTCTGCCACTAGACGAGGGAAGTTGTACATGGGGGTTGCAGATTCTAGCCTTGAATCAAGGTAGATAGAGGCTAGAGGTTCTCAGTTGTCGTCAAATGGGAGGTACAGGAGTCAATACGTGAGGAACTTGATCCCTCTAGGAATCTCTTCAAAAGCTCTACGTCACGCTTCACGAAAATGGTGTTCTTTAAAGAATGTGGCCTTTCAGAAATGGATTTATTGAGAGAAACGGCTCCTCGGAAGAAAAAAAATGGCTCCCCGGTAAACCCTAAGTAATAAAGGCATTCATTGAACAACCATTGCTAAAAAAATTAAAAAGGACTTACCACGAGGGGGTTCGAAATTCAAACTCAAATAAAACCGTAATCACAAAACTTATGATTT